GTGGATATTAACTTGAATAATATTAAGGTTCCCCTTGCATTATAGCGGACACCAGTTGTTCAAATTTAGGTGTTACACTCTATATATCTGAACCCAGAATGACTCCGAGTTGCTCATTACTCTGTTACACACACTTACTGCTAATGTCACTAATGGGACTGTGAGAGGATGAGAGTGAGATCCAGCTATTTGTTTTGTTTTTTTTTTTCCTGCTGTGACACAGAAGAGCTTTTTGTGGCTCTGTTTTGTCAGGTCACATTCATTTGCCGTCCTTCTAGGGTTTGAAACTGGCAGCCCAACAGCAATGGGCAAAGGCAATAACCCAGTGAGCCACCAAAGCAACTTCAGAGCCAACAAGCATTTCTGAGGACACCAAGGTTTGTCTTCTCTCCCACAAAAGCACTTCAGCTGGGTTTTGTTCACTAGGTGGCACAAATGCATAAGAGATTGATTTAGAAAAGTTTTCTCTGCAGTTTTACTGTTGATGTTGTAAATGTTTCCAGGGTAATTTTGAACATGTTTCAAGTGTGATTTAGGCTCCAAAGTTCATTTTTGAAGAAAGACCCATAGTGATATGTTCACTGGGGAGAAGCCAGTGCACTGAGTCTTAGTCAGCTGAGTCTTGCTTCTCTCAGCTGCATTCACGTCCTTCATGGTGAACTGATTGTATCAAAGTCTCCCCTTCCCTTCTTTGTCTTCTCCCAGATCCCAGAACCAGCAGAAGAAAAATTTTCACAAGACCAACACTAACATGATGATATTAATGCACTTTTTTAAAATAAGAGAGGAAAAATATTTGTAGATAAAATTTAATACTGGAAAAATTCCCATCAATTCCATCATGGGGGAAAGAACGTAAAGAAAGACCCTGAGTAGCAAGAACAGTATAAACTGTACAGCATTAATGGAAATACCAGTAGATGAAAAAGGAAAAAGATGGTAGCCATATCCTTCCTCACCTAAGGTTTGTTTGAATGGAGGGAGCAGAGAAAAATCCAGTGGTGTAGCAATGAGGGCTAACCTATCTTCCTACTATCCACGAGCCACACAGCTTCCCTCAGGGCTGGTAGCATTAGACTGGACATGTGAGCTTCAAAGACAATCTGAGGTTCCTTTTCTGGCTTTTCAATACAGGTGGGTTTCATACATGTGCTTTTAGAAAGTACTAGCATCAATCCTAAAAGATCTGTGTGCTCTAATTCTTTCTCTAAGGATCTATTTTACTACTTAAGATTTTCACAATTCCACTAAATTATACATATATATATATATATATATATATATATATATATATATATGTATGTATAGGCTTCATATATTCTTTCTGTTAAGGGATAATCAACTCTTGTGTTTCTCTCCCTATTTCCACTTCTTAACCCTGGTAATAGATAACAGAAATTATGTGATTTCAGACTCCAGGGTGAGTACAAGACCTGTCGACTCATGAGGTTTGTGCTGTGCATCAGGAAGGAGCAGGCAGTGGCAGAAAGCCACCACAATCATTAAAATGCAAGTGGAACTGAACGTAGGGAGGGCTCAGGCTTTGAAAGTGACTAACTTAAACATTTTCTTTCCAAACATCTGTAAATTGTTAGTCTGATTTATTTTGAATTAAAAATCATTTTTGCAGACTGACAGCTTATTTTAATTTTCAGCCATTAGACTTTTCAGATGTTTGAATTTCATGCTGCTCCACTGCCTTTGACACTGGAGAAAGGTGCCCCTTCTCATCAGGTATACTTGGGTCCTTTACCAACGAGTAAAGTTCTTTTCTTCCTCTGTGTACACCATGATAAAATCCTTGAGACTGTCTACTACCCCTGTTGAAACTGATACCATTTTCAGTCCTGTTGGAAGCAGCATTATGCTCACTTCCTAGGCCAGTCAGAAGAAGCCACGTCTTGGTGTAAATTGAGATTGCCAAAAAGTATAACAAATATGAGATGTCAATGTCTGCATGGAGAACTTTCTCCACTCTTTCCCCTCCACTGTTGTAATTTTGCTCTTGTTACAGTGGTTATTGTTAATTCAGTGAAATTACTCATTCTCTCTTTCTGGAAATCCAAAACTCAACTCATCTTAGTGTTTTTGACCCCCAATTTCAAAAAGAAAAGAAAGAAATTAGATTTTATATCTCTCATTCACATTAGTAACAAGTACTGACTGGAGTTCAAACAAGCGCCTGTGATTCTGAGCTTGGTGGACTGACAATGAAACAGCTGGATTTGACATTTGTTTTTTCATCTACAGCTGAGTAAGGACTTCCAGGTAGTTCGGATCTGTGCCTTGTCATGATCTTTCTAGAAGATCTATCTAACCCTTAAAGTTGGTAAAAATTTAAATCTAAATTTAAACTTTTCTACCTAAAATCATATGAAGTAAAAGAAGAGTTAAGTGTTTCTACAGATGATAATATTCAGCATCAGATGATCCATGTATGCATAAAATTCAAATAATCTGATATGGTTGCATTTTATTTGTTTTCAGGCCCACACCATAGGATTTAATATTATTTTATCCTATGAAATTCTTCCTTGGCAAATCTTTTAGGTTTGCTCAAAAGCAGTAGCAAGCTCAGACCTTTTAGACGAATGAGTTATTTTTGACAAGCCCCAGAACTGACTAATCTCTAATAAAAATCTGACCACCCTACAACCGAACCCAATATGGATTGTGGCAATGACACCACAGGATGTGTTTTGCTTTTATGATTTCTCCTCTTAATATCTTCTTAGTATTTATGGCAAAAAAAGACTTTTCTGTTGATCATGGCCAGCAAATAGCAAACATACCTCCCAGTATATGACTTGACCTCTGAATGGTGTTAGGTTTGGACATTATAGGAACAAGATAAATTAATTATTCTAGCTTCAGGCTGCCATTCTGCAGACTTCTCTATGTGCTTGAATTTGTAAATAATATGAGCACTGCACTTGCATGTGTTTCATCAGGAGTAGCATGATGAGCATCTTGCTGTGTCTGGGGAAGTATTTGGTTAATGTGTAAGAGAGAGAAAAATCTCTCTCCATCTCTGCCCATCACCTTCGAATGTTTAACAAAATATACACTGACAGATTCCTAAGCAATCCTCCAAGGCAATGGGTATCCCAATGCTTTCCCAGACCTCCCTCTGTTCTCCCTGTTGTGACAGGTCCATAGAACTAATGGAATACTTCTCTCTAATACAAATGTAACAAGTTCAGGATAAACCCAACGGAAATCCATGCAAAAATCCAGTGAAAGAAATGTGCAAACAGAGATCGAAAAGTGTCTGCACATTTAAATTCTTAATTTGTTTTGGGAGTCCGCAACTTTGAGAGATTCTGAGAAATTGCTTTTCATGGAAAGTGTTTAATGACTAGATAAAAAAAACAATTCTTTGGGAACCCTTGTCCAGCCTGCAAAGTTTAGGCCTGAATAACTTTAGTCACCTCTTTTGTGTTGGACTATATATTTTGCAATGTTATTTCCATTTCTGTTATTCCCCCACTGCAAGGTATTTCAGTAGCTTTATATCAGTAGTCATTCTTGTACCTTTCTGCTGTCACTGCTGGGTAGGTTTTTTTTGTTTGGATTACATGTTTTGTTTTTGTTTTCTATTTTTGTTCTTCAGGGTTTTTTTGTAGCATTTTTTTTTCCCCTCGGACCTTTCTGGAATCTCAGAATTTCAGAATTTGACTTATGCACAGTTATGGGTGAAATGTGGTATGGATATGAAGTAGATAATGCAGCTCTATAAGCTACCAACTGCTTAATGAAACTGCACCTTTGCAGTAACTGGTGGAGGAAAAACACCTCATTAAATCAGAGGGAATCCAAGAAGTTTCTCAGGGAGCATGAGTGACTTTCCTATATCTTAAGCAGCTGGCTCTTCCTTCCTCTCATCCTCCCATTAGCCATTCCCAGTAATGGTCTTACTGGCCTCTGAAGCACTGACAAGATCATATAACTTTTAGGGAAGCCCATGGTAGTTTCTGCAATTTCTACTTCCAGCTTAACTAATGGCTTGTGAAGTTGGAAATCCATGTCTTGAGTGTGATGGATTTTGTTTGAAAATTGATCCCAGTAGATAATTCTTTTAAAAAAGTGCCTAGAGATCAGACAGGTCCAGGGAAAACTATTTAAAACAAGGCTCATCTTAACATTCAAGGTCAACAGAGAGATGTGAGAAAGAATCCTTACAGGATAAAAAGACTCATGTAAATTAAACTATGTGTGCACAGTCATGCTGAATGATTTTCAAAGCTGCCTTCTTCCTCTTTTTTTTTTTTTTTTTAATTCATACATCATTCTTTGAGCTGTCTTTGCAAGCTGTCTTTCCCATGGCACTTGGCCAAGAAAGAGGACACGGGGCTACCCTATAATGGGAATCCCAGAGGAAAAGGTCAGTCATTCTCAGCCCACAAAAGAGGACTTATCAATCAGTTGTCAGACCATGAAACCAGAGCATCCAATAGAAATAGAAATAGATCACCAAAACCACCTCACAGCTCTTGTGTAGCAAGTGCAAGGAGGATATGGAGGGAAGGAGTGAGCTGTTCCTTCAGGTCTGGGAGAAAGTGTCATCATTCAAAAACCTTTTGATAAACTGCCAAGTAGTTTCAGCAAAAATAGTACACCAAGACAACAGTCTGCAGGGCTGGGAATTTCAGATCACCAAAGGGAGGGGATGCCTGCAGGCAGTGGAGAATAAGGAATGCAGCTAAAATGTTTTAGAAGAGCTATCCTTAGTCTCCTCTGTGCTGCTAATTGTTTTAATAACTGTTTTTCTGGTAGAAGTTGTTTTTTTCTTTTCCCCACCTGTGTGTTCACAATCTCACTACCAGTTGCACAAATCAAAAAGTGTCTGGGAATTTAGATATGAATCAGTAGTTGCAGCCAGAAATTCCCAGAAGGTATCGGTGCACCAAAACTAGTGGATAGTATGCAGGACGTTAATATAAGCTGGGTAACTCAAATTGAAGATGCAAACAATAATGTGAATAATTAACTCTGGGGAGGTTTACATCTGTATCTGAAATGTTCCAGCTGCTCACTCCATGTGTACAAAAGGCTGAACCATAGTGCTGGATCCAAGGAGATATATTCTGGGAAAATCCAAGGCAACATGTAATCTTCCTTACTGGCAATCATCTCCTTAAAAAGGAAAAAAAAAAGAAGCAGATGTGAACTCTAGGAGCATTATGGACATTCATGATTTTAAGATGGACTCTATGTGTACAGTTCGTTTTTAAAGAAAATAATTGGAGTGGAGAAAAGTGCTAAACTAAAGTCAGAGGGAGTCTTAAAATCCAATTAGGTAGGTATTGTAATATACATTGCTCTGTTAAGGGCAATTGGCCCTAAATTTGTTTTATGTGTGTATTTATATATGTGCATATATATTCATACACACACAAATATATATATATATATATATATATATATCTATTTAGAACAAAAGGCTGTTGAGTCAAGTTAGGCCTTGCACTTCACTCAGGATGCCATTTCTTAGGTTCATTAGGGATTATTTTAGTCTTGTAACACCTAATATTAATTTGGATTTAGACAGCAAATAGAAAGCTGATGCTAGCTGAGATTCTGGTCTCATTTTGTTGAAGTATCTGTTAATGGTCAAAGTAGAATGGTTTGGGTTAATCCAGAGATGGACTCAAGATGTTGCCAGTCTTGAATCTGGACACACGTTTAAAAGCTCAAGTGTGGGCTTTGGTGGGTGGAGGGCTACTTGGACCATTATAAATATTTCAAGATGATGAATAAACAAAGGATAGATATTTTGATTTCATTCCATTTCTGTTATCGGCTGCCAATTCTTTACAGTCCCCACCCTAACTTTTGAGGCTAAAGCCAGACTGCAGAAGCGTTGTAAATCTCCTCCTGAAACTCTCAGCTCTGACAATTATTAGACTGAATCGGTTTGCCCTGCTGAGCCACATCATCCTCTCTGGCCAGAGCTGAAACTGTTCACTAGCCATTGCTCATCCAGGTAAACATTTGATTTGTTTTTGAGGTGAACACCAGATCTGACTGCCTCTTGTGGCTGATAGGCATTGCACTGCATGGGAGCATTTCACCAAGAGGAATGCCCACTCGAGGACCATGTTGTGTGGAGTTGTAGTGGGCTGAGATGTGCTTCTTGCTCCTCTCCAGGGCTACTTTGGGGTGATCAACCATGGCCATCTTGTCACAGAAACCTCTGTGTGGTGTTTCTTATTAACATTGTCCCTGCCTAAGCCACTAGTGAAATTTTAGCAGAGTTCTTCCCGGTAAACCATCCGTGTGCCCAGGAGAGGAACCAGACCCAAAAATCTGTTGGAAAATCAAAATAGGAAGAGATAAAAAGAGGGGGGGAGAGAGAGAGGGAAAAATCAATCGATAGGAAATGGGGAATACAAAAGGTTTTTACAAGTGTTTTGGATTTCTGGGCTGTATCTTCAAGCATGTGTCTGTGTTGATTTGCAGGCAGACAGGATCAGCCAGATGTGAACTGGGAGTGCTGTGGCCATGTTAGGGCAGTGCTGAACGTGGGTAGTCTGAAGCTGGCTCTCAGTATGGCTTGTGTTCACTGCTGGGCTAACCATGATGGTGTGATTTCACGTTTGGAGCTGTCAGACTTGGAGAGCACAAGCAGAGTCACCTTAGTTCAGCCCAGAAAATAAAATGCAGATATGGTCTTGTGGTGGGTGGTAAGAGATTCTGGCAATCTTTCTCTCTCTGACAGTGCTGAATTTATAGCCTGATCATACATTAACACAGATATATATGCTATACCTTGTTGCATCCATGGGGATCCAAGGCCTGTATGAAGACCATCCACGAGTGAAAGGTAGCTCAAAATTGCATTCTTCTGCAGAAAGAAAACACACTTTGTCTGTAATGTCACATTTGTGTAATTGAATTGCTATCAGTATCACTAATGAATAATGAAGAGAAAAGGAAAATGGAGTGTAATTCTGGAAAATACTTCTGAAAAAAAAATCTGGAAAAGAATGATGCAGTTAAAATTGCTGTATACACACTCCTTTACACATAACCTTTCTCTGCTGTTATGCACAATCTTCCCCTGCCCTTTGGCTCACTGGCTTCAGTCTAGAAGAGGAGTTACTGTGTCATCAATCTCCTAAGTCCTGAGGTAGAGCTATGAAGGTGGTGTTGAAGGTCTTCCCCTCTTCTCTAGTGTGCATTTGGGAAATTTTTCAGTTTATTTTTTTCCTAGCATGCTTTAACACTTCAGCTTTTTCATTAATCTGTACCACCACGTTACACCCAGATTTGCAGTTTGGAGTGTCTATATTTATAAGAATCTTATTTTTGTTCATGTTATTCACCTGAATAGCAGTTTTACACATTCTTTGAGTCTGCAGTTCTTTGATCAGTGAGACAGTTGCATCCCCAGAGCCTCCAATGCTGTCTCATGCCCTCTCTCTGGTCATGTACTCCTCTCTACCATAACATGCATTCTCACTCTGAAGCCTTCTGCTGTCATCCCTTGCTGTTACACCAAAATTATTTTGTTGTTCTGGATGATTTAAGTCTACTTCATTCATTAGTACAGATGAGCTGCTTGTTACAGCTGACTCTATAAAAATGATGACTGTACAACATAATTAACCAAAGATAAAGAAATAAAATAGACAAAGCAATCACCATAAGGTCATTAAAATTTTTCTTTACAGAGAAATAAACCTAAAAAAACTGCTCTAGGCAAGCTGAGTCCAGACAAGGTTTGCAGAGTTAGTAGAAAGCTGTGGTCTGTTACTAGCCATAGCAATCCTGTATTTACTGTTAAATGGACAGGAGTAAGAGGTGACTCGTAGATCCTCTGACTGCACTTTTAAGACCTTTGCCCAGCTTTGGTAAAGCAGGAACTTCAGTTACCTGATAGCTGATTTCTCTGCTGTTTTCTGCAAGGTGCCTGCATTTCCAGGAGAGTCCTCCAGCCCTCCATAACCTATGAGGCACGACGTGGGGCTGCTCACTGTTGTGGCTCAGGGGAATATGAGAATTCAGGCTTTCCTGTTCCAAAACATTCAAGTCTTGTGAACAGTAATGAATCAATTGATATTTGCTGTTAGCAGCAAAAGACTTCTTGCAAACTCCTCATTCTGTAAGTAAAAGATCATTTTTCAGACACAGGCACACATGTAATTGGCATAAAGCACTGGAGAATTGTGTCTAGATTGTGTACAGATCTAAAAATGTTCAGGAACCAAGTTTTCCATCTGTAAGTGCATATTTGTTCATAATGAAGGGAAATAGCAGGATCTGTGTGGGGGTGGGCTTCTATTTTATTTTATTATTCTACCTTTTCATTGTTCAGATGTCTTGAGAAAACAATTAGTTTGCACAATTCCTAGGAAATACCTCACTTGCACAAGGAAAGGATAACATGTGGTAGCTTCTGCACACTCCAGTTGGGCAGCCAGCACTTTTCTCCTTTTTCTTGTTTCTTCCTGAGGTGTATGGCTATTTTTCATATCCAGGACAGTTCCATTTCTCTGCTAAGTCAGGCACTCAACCATTTTGCCTAATTATATCTGATGTTTTACTCACAGTATTATGCTCTTCTTCAGAGGAAATGAAAAGCAGATTGTCTCCTTGGCAGCAAAGAATAACAAATGTGCTGCACTGAATAGCTGCTACATTAAAAAGGGCCACAATCTGCCTCCGTGCCAACCAGTGCTAAAGACTCTGACAGACAGGAGGCTGCTCTGAGAGTTAAGGTTACTTTGCAGAGATGGAATTGTGGATATCTGATTAGGCAGAAGGTATTGAAAAATTTCCAGTAGAATTTAAAAATTTGTTTCAGTGAAGTTTTGTTAAAAGAAATAATAATTACAGTAATAAATTGCCCTGCTTCAATAAGGTTGAAAGATATTTCCTTATCTGAACATACATTTCTATTTTGAATTTTTTTTTTTTTAGTAAAATTTGATTTATGTATTTGGCTTCTTGCATTTAAAAAAGAATTAATCTCTCTGTCTGAAAGCAAATATATGTGTATAGGTAAATTTAAATAAATTTAAAAATCAAAATACAATGACATATTTTGGCTTTCAGAACAGGATATTTTAGTGAGCCTGAATTTATTGCTTTTTTTGCCTCCCAGAAATATTGTAGATTTTGTCTTCTTTAGTGCTGGGGACAATTCCTCCTGCCCTTCTGAACGAAGACTCTTGAATTTGGATAGTTTTGTGATTGTAACTATACTTATGCCATCTATACATGGTTACTTACACATTTCATAAGTTATTTCAGACTCCTCTCATTCATTTTATCAAGAAGACTTTTATTAAGAGTGTGCATTAAAGTAGGCGAATTTTCCCATTAGTTTTCTTCTCCCAGTGTTACCTAACTTCTGTGAGAAGTGTGAAATGTGGAACTCATGACAGCTGCATGTTCTGCTGGTTACGTTGCTGAAGCAGAAAGTTTTCATGTGACTTGTCATACAGTTCTGCTTACAGCAGGCTCTGTTTGACACCTTCACAGCACATGTTAGGAATCACATTTCGTATTTTAAGGAATCTGCAATGAGAGCTTGTAGTGGGCAAGCCCAAACAAAAGATCCTGTGGAATTAGCCTAATTACCCAGGAGAAATGGTTGTTCTCTGTTCAATCTCATTCCAAATTATTTCTCATTTTCCAAATCACTGCAACCTTGCTGAGTCTCAATAATATGTAGTTCTTGTTCAATCTGCAATAGTTTTTTTAAAAGTTTTGTTTCTTTGTGTTAACCATCTTACCTAACTACTTTTACCTGCTCTGCCAGCTCACTACTCAAGACCTAATTATTCACATCTGTCTAATTTTTCCATCTGATCTCCTAACCACAAATATCTTCTTTTTAAACTTTCTTTTTAATTGACTACTGAGCCACTCATTAGTGCATCTGTGCAGACAGACTTTCTTCTGCTTTTTCACTGGAGGCTGGGTGTGGCACTATCTTCCATTTTACCTTTCACTTACACAGACAAATTCTAACCTTTCATCATCACTTTATAGCCCTGTGCAAA